AGTCAAATAAGTTGTAACTAGCTATTATTATTATTATTATTATTATTATTATTATTATTATTACGAACCGTCATTGTAAAAACAAATAAAAGAGGTTATATAGAGGACAATTTTCAATTTTTTTTCATATCTGATATTGTTTGGGTTCATTACCGTTTATTTTATCGACCTCTGTCTATAACCTATGGGCATTTGATAGTTATATCTTTATATATTATTGATTTACATTTTTAATATATATTAGTATAACTCTTCTGTATGTTTCATTTTCCCGCTTAAAAAAAGAAAAAATTTTTTAAATTCTTCTTTTTAATCACCGTTAAACAGGATGTATCAATAGTCACTAAAAGCATTTTTTGTTGTTACTGTTGTTGTTATTGTTAAAAATAGGTCAATTATTATGTTTATTCAACTAGAAGGAAATTGATATACTTGATAATAATGATAATAATAACCGATTTTGTTTAGTGGGTACATTGAATTTTAAAGGTCGTTTACGAAAATATCTTAGTTAAATAATAAAATGGTAAACAATTGACTAATGATTACCGGTATTGATAATCAATTTAACTATATACTTTTTAATGAAAACTATAAACTTACTCATACAATATAAGAGGAAATCATATGGTATATTATTATAATTTGTAAGAGTTAAATTATTGAACAGTTTTAGGCGGACACTATAATTTATGGACGAACCAATCAGATTTAAGATAATAGGTCTTGGATTTTGGAACAAAATCCATTCATTCATTTGGTGAAATAGCCTTTTGGCATTTTAGCTGATATTAGTTCATGATGAAAACTCTTAATCTAATTTGTAACCCTAACCATCAACTGTAAATCATAATTTCAACTGGTTTATAACTCTCATTTAGTTCTAATAAGTAGGTGGACTTTCTGATAGTCACTTTAGCGTCACTTAAAGGTCATTCATAAATTATAGTCTTACCCAGTTTTAAATATTGTGGTAATTTATTTCAATTCAGACATTTACTTTAGACTGAGAGAAAATTAACATAATGTGTTGGATAGTCATAGATCTCTGGATATCACTGTAGAACAATAGCTCTTGTTATAAATACAGTTTAGATGTTTGCTTTATTCTGTTTTTTTCTCATTCAAAACTATTTTATGAATAAGTTTTTATTGGTTTGTCGTTTTTACTTTAGTAACTGTTCATGTCAGTGCTTTATTGTCAATAAATTGATCATTGTGCAAAATAGCCATTTAGTAAAAATGATATAAGTGTCTGAAGGTTACTATCGTATTACAATCAGAATCGTTTATTCCATCTCTTGCAGATAAAATATAGTCAGTCCAAAAGTTATGATCATTAGATAAAACTTCCATTTAACTTTTTAAATATGTTGACTTTTAATTTTTGGTTTTAATGAATGGATCGTAATTTAAAGTTTTACCGAATGTTCAACTTAAAAATGTGCAATCAGGTAATAAATAATTTGATCAGAACTAAACAACAAAACATTTTCACTATCATGTCATTCCATAAAAATTAATGCATTTACATGCTTAAGACGTCATCACCTTAAGTTATATGAATTAACTTTAAAGAAAAGCTGAAGAACAAAGTATTTTAAACCAGTGATAGATTTTTTTAGTTCAAATTACGGACTGATCTTAATTGGACAGCTGCAATATCCTAGTATGAGACTCCTCAGAGGTGTGTATTCGCAATCAAAACAAGCATCAAAGCAAAGACCGTTTGGTCTCTCAGAGAGCCCTTAATCTTCAGATTTCTGAGTCGGGATACAATTGCTTACATTTCTAATGCTAGTCAATAATTTGTGATCATCTATTAGTATCATTGGTAGGTGACAGTCTTAGACTTGACATAAATGAACTTCACTAGCCACGGTTTCTTATCAGAATTACGGAAATTACCGTATAAATAATTGACTAATGAGCACTTGATCGTTATAATTAGAAGGAATTTGTAGAGACCACTGAATTTTATGGTTAGTGTTAAGGGCTCGACAAGAGACCCTAGGTTCTGTCAGGGTTGTTCCGTCAGTTAATGCTGCTGGGGAACCCTATACTAGAATGAAGCAGCTGTTTAGTGACTAATTGTCTAACCAAGATAAGTTAGTGGTGTGAACCATAAAATCCAACAGTTTCCACAAACCTTAAGTGTGTAAGTCATTTGCTTTTTAGTGGCATTATAAATTTACCAAGTAGACAAAAAATCTATCTGACATTAAAAGGAACCAGCATTTTGTGTTCTCAAGTTTACTCACGTAGTTTAGTTACCTTAACAACAAAAATGTCTAGTAATAAAGTCACTACACTTGGATGGTTCACTCAACTAGAAGAGGAGTATCCAACAGCAAATAATAAGGATGTTTTAATCAATAATCATGGAAATAACTTTCGTTCTTGCTTGAGAATCATGGGAATATATTTGTATTCAAGTATCAAGAGATATATTAATGAACATTTAACAACGGATGCCAAAATTTAAGATTTGAGTTTGCAACCATACCAAATAGTTTTTAAACCTCACATTAAAGCTACTTTCTGTACACTAGTTTGCTATTTATTTGCTTATTGAAATTGAATCAAGATATGAAACTCATGGAATATATTCAGATATTTAGGAGGTATGGTAAAGTAATTTGTTACTGTGTAAATGTCATTGAATTTCCGACTGTATGCAATCAAACATTAAGTAACATCATAAATATATTGAAAATATAAAAAACTGTAAAATGACAAATGAACTGACTGAAATTCATCCACATAATTATTGAAATGTCTTAGTTTGGAGAATAAGCCAGGTTTTCAATATTCAGTAGGTGTGCTGTATCTATCACTTCAAAACATTTTGAACCTATTTATTGAATGGGTATTGCGTGTAAGAATGTAGTTTTCTTCGAATGTTTCATTCCAATATTCTAAAGTTATCCATAGCTGTTCGCTTTAAACCCATCAGAATAGCACATCCCAACATGCCGGATAAAAAATAGTAACATATAGTTAAGTCCTCAAATAATATCGGAGAGACTATAATTAATGGACGAACCAATCAGATATAAGATAACGAGTCTTAAATTTTGGCGCGAAATAGCGTTTCGGTATTATAGATGATGTCAGTTCCTGATGAAAACCCTAATTCTAATTTTTAACTCTAACCATGAACTTTAAATCATAATTCTAACGGGTTTATAACCCTCATTTAGTCCTAATCAGTAGGTGTCCATTCTCAAGGCACTTCAGTGTCACTGAAATGTCGTCAATAAATTCTAGTCTCACCGATCTTTGTAAAGCTTGTTAATTGATTTTTGCTTGTGGGCTAACGTCAAATGAATAACTATTAAACTACATAGAATGCTAAGTGGATATTTGGTCTTATCATAGGATTTGTTAACAGTGCTCAACCAGAATATCACACAGAATCAAGGTCAATAATTAAAGGTTCAAATTTAACACTATGGATATATCATACATGCCATGGGATCACAATAATTTTGGATAGACCGCCTATGGGGTTGTATGTGCACACTGAATCTTGAATCAATATAAGATAGCTGTCCAGTCTTCTTTAGAATAATGTGGAAAATTCACTTTCCTTCTTGCAAGAAACCATAAATGGAACTCATTTACGTAAGTTTCATTTTTTTGTTGTTAAACGCCTCCTACAATGTTATACAACAATAATATGATCAATTTTAATTTGTATATCAGTTGTTTGGATCTTACCATTGATGTTTAACACTACATTTGATCAATCTCTTATTACCATATGTACATCCTTTGTGGATTACCTCGATATTCCCAATAATTCACAAGCATCTTAATCAGAGATGGATAGTAGTTAGCGGTAGAATCCAGGAAGCCCACTTAGACCAATTCGGGACTCATCAGCTGGATGTACCCTGTATTCTAGAGTTGATGATAAATCGGGAACACGAATTTCAAACACCATCGCATTATCCACTTAGCTACTAATCACACAGGATGCTTAATTTCCAAAAGAGACTGATCAGTTGCAGTCGTAAACATCAATGGAAAGATTTGAAAAAAAAGCAATATATATTAAAATTCACCCCATTGCGCAGGCCAGTAGCCATCTGGATTCGGTGACTAAGTGGATCGAGGTACATCTAGATGACGAGTCCTAAGTAAGATGAAATATGCGTTCTGGATTCCACTGCTAGCTACAGTCCATCTTCGTAAGAACACTAAAAATTTTATTTAAAATATTTACTACAATGTTATCTTGTCAACAATACTGATATTGAATGACAACTCATTCTTTACAGATACCTATTATATGTTAATATTTTGCATGGATTAAACTTATTTTTTATATGTAGCTGAAGAGAAGTCAACAAATCACAAATAACTCATTTTTTGCTAACATCGTTATGCTTTTCTCGCTTCACATATATTTCGTTTACGCCTCCATATTCCCAGGATAAAGTGGGTTGGAGAATGATGGTCAGCGGCATATGCTGCACTGGAAATAACAAGGGTAAGTAAGTAAGTACATATCCGTTTTCATTTAATAATGAATTTTTAAACAAATAAAGTAGTAATTTCAATAGTTGAGATCATGAGTCATTTGAAGCTAGACCACCATGGAAAACCTGGAAGCACTGGATGACCCATGCGTTCGCGCACGGGTTCGAATCTCGCGAGGCGGGGTCGTGGATGAGCACTGCTGAGAGGTCCCACAACAAGATGAAACGGCTGTCCAGTGCTTCCAGGTTTTCTATGGTGGTCTAGCTTCAACTGACTCATGATCTTAATCATTGAAATTATTATGATTTCCACAAAACCCCTTCTGATACTAATAAAGTAGTTTTGTTATAAATAAACAATTTAGTTGTGATAAAATTTGAGAAATATTCCTTACTTGAAATTCATACTTTAGTTAACTTGATTTAATATTAAGCAAACAATGGAATTTCCCATATTCTGGGTATTTTGTTTTATATAAACAGAATATTACACTAACTAAATAAATAACTTACATGATTAGAATTTTCTATTGGTAGAATGACATTAAATATTTTTCCTGTAGGAATAAGAATTTCCACATTTTCACAATGACACATTAGAAAAACAATCAACAATATACAATAGAAACTATTCACTGTGTAAAAGTGTATTCTGTGATGCATAACTATCATATGATTATATGTGTAAATAATCAGATATTGTCATATATTCTCATATTAATGGATGTACTCTCAGTTGTTGTTTTATCTTAATTAGGAACATTTTAATTGTAAACATCTGGGCAAAAAATAGTCGATTATTTGATCCGATTCAAACATAAATTCTATTGTAGTTTAACTGATCACTGGTTAATACTGATCAAGTGATTTTAGTAATATGTATTTTAGGAATTGTATAAATTAATGTTGTGCATTTCTGGTTAATACAGTTGTTAGGTGTTGCTACTTATTATGATATTTTAATATGACATATTACATAACAGAGGATGAAATGAGATATAAGATTCATTCCGATTTTTATAATAAATTTATCCATAAACGATAATTGTACATAGTTCATCCAGTTGAAAAAAAAAAGAACTTCGCTTTATTTTAATGTTTTCATTGAGCTTATATAGTTTAATTAGAAGGTTTTGTATAGACATACATGCAATAATAGGTTAATAAATATTTGCACGGATATTATTATTAATAATAGTAGTAGTAGTAATGTTACTTTTCAATTGCTCACTCGTTCACTTATTCATTCATTCGTTTAACACATAACATATACACAGAAAGAAAAAATCACATACCGACCATCTAACTATTCTTCTAGGAGGGATTAGACTGTGTAGCATGAAAAATAATTGGAAGTGTTTTCAGACAGGAACAATTCCACGTGTTTTCATTTTGTTTATTTAATGAAACCGTAAAATATCATAAGGAAATTACTCTATTAGTAGGACGGACATACAATTGGACTGATATTTCTCTGGTCATATTGGTAATATTACGTGCAATCATTTATGTTTTAGAATGAGTAGAGGCAGAAATAAAATAGTGAATAGTTGTATTGTATAAGTTTTCGACTAAATGATAGCGGTAATAGGGGATAACTATCATAAAAACTGGACTTTAAACTCTTTTGGCATGAATAGTATAAAGGAGTGCGGATACACAGACAATTGTTGAGTCCTGTCAAAAAGAATAGATAGTCTTATGACAGCCTATGATTAAAAGACTTAATGCATAGATTTAGGTAAGAAAAATGTTATGTATTACTGTATGATTTTCGCATCCGTTTTCAATTACATTTTTATTATAAATTAAATCAACAAGAAGTGCTTTCATTGAGCCACGTGATTTTACTATCTGGGATATTTTCCATTTTTAGCAAAACTGTGACAGTTTTTACTTCTGAAAGATTTGGCTCAGTGAAAATTTTGTTAACTGGATACCCTAGGTATTTAGCTTCTGAAGGACACATCTTTGTTACAGTAGCTGATCATAGCAGATCAGATTGTAATTAATCCAGACGTTTCCAGATACCATGATTTTTATATGAATTCTGACAATACAATGAATACTAGAGCTTTACTGAATCAAGGATACTTATAAATTTGGTCTCAGTTAAAGACAGAATATATTAAAGGACTGATAATATATGACACCGGAAGGGTGATCATGGCCATATACCAGGAGTTGGCAAACTATGGGAAACAACATTATTTAGAACCATTCGTAAAAGCTGCTAGAGGTGAAATGGTTTAAAACTGTTTTATTTAAACATAACACCATATACAAAAATCTTGCATATTGACAACTGAAGTCAAGTGTAATCTGTTCTTCAACCAATTACAGGAAGCCTATGAAGTACAGAAGCTATCTCACAGGAACCTGCTCAAAAATACTGTCGAAAGATTTCATTGTTTAAGCATGATTATTTAATAATTCATTAAAACTTCAGAGCTTGTGGTTTAATTTGCCGAAAGACTATTTTCTACTGCCATTAAAGTAGTTAATTTTAATCTTTCGACGTAATTATTGGACATTCAAACTTAAGGCAACTTGAATGAACTTTCTGTACATGCAAGATTGACTAAATTTTATTTGTCATTGGTAGGGAATACATTATCGGAACCTTTAAATTTTGTAATTAAAATGTTTGCATTTTGAACAATCATATTCAGATCCCAACTAGTAAATTCAAAGTAACAGCTAGTATTATTCATTATGACAAACATCCATAAGTTGCTTACATTTTGAGTAACAATGGAAATAATAACGTACGTTTTATTCTGCTTGGTATATTCAAATGACTAATTCTGTATAGTTCTAGTTTGATAAGGCCTCTGAAAAAATGTTATTTGTTGACTGTTTTTCAATATGAAATTAATTGTGAAGATTATATTCTAGTCACAACAAAGCAAAAATATAGAAGTAGAGAAGATCTGTAGCTCAGGTGGGTGATTAAGGTGGGGTTTTATTCTTTTAGCTCGATGGTTTGATGCTATCAAAATAAAGATGTGGACAATGACAGATTAAAGGTCAGCAACAGCCAGTCATGATCAAGGCGACAGGACAAGCTGTGAATTATATGTGGAGAAATTCTATAACTTCACTTGTACTTGAAGTTTGCGCTAATGATGTTGTTCAGAAGAACAATGAAAGCTCCACTACTAAACTTTCCAGTTCTGAGAACAAAACCCCACATAAAATATAGAAGTAAACTAAATTGAATTTCGAACATTACAAAGATTTATTAAAACATATTTTACATCTTCACAAGAAATACAGTGGACAAAGTCATAAGATATGTAACTGAAATTTAAGACATCTGACTGTACTCTGAATTCAAACATATTCTTAAGAAAATGGTACAAAGTTTAGAATTCAGGCTTCATTCTTTTTAAGACTTTTCAGTTAAAACTTAATTTCAGTGTCTATTGATTTACATACCAACATGTTATCCACGATGTTACTGAATTAAGAAAGCGACTAATTTGTTTAAATGATGTCGTATTTTTATTATAATAAATAATTTTTGTTTTCCCATTGCTGATATTTGGAGAAGAATTTTAATTTGTCTTCTATGAATTCTACTAATAGCTACTATCTGGAAGATTTTTTTCTTGAAAATTGTAAACATAAAAAGCACATGAAGGCGTTTAATCAGTAAGCCCTGATGATAATCAAAACTGACCAAATAGAGTTTTAAATACCAGCAACGTGTGAATATAAATGTCTTTAAGTAATTTTAACAATAAAATATTTACAATATTGTAGTGGCTTCGCCTCATTAATCAATCACCCTTGTAACCATCATTATATTAATTTCAACAGTGTTTGAAATCAGAAGCGGCAACTACAGTTTATTAGCGGATAACTTCGATCACAAAGCTTTAAGCACATCAAACCAATTGGGAGCATAGGCGAATATATATATATATATATATATATATATATATATATATATATATATATGCGAGCAAACACAGCGGCAAATTTATAGTCAAATCGATTAAGAGCACCAAAAGGCAAAGCAAAAGCTAACAATAGGATTTGAGTACATATATAGATGGAGAGGAGAATGAATCATTGAACGATATTTAAGCAGTCAACATTTTAGCTAGTCTGTCATATGTTCTAATGATCATAACACTACAAATAAATAGACGAATTGTTACTATTCAAATAACATTGTCTATTAAGTAAGTTCATAAAAGGACATAACCAAAATTAACCATAACCAAAATTGGTTGTAGGTTAGTTGCTATGATATAATGTACAATTTATTTCAGTTTAATTTAATTATCAACAATTTTGATAGGAATTTCTAATAATCAATAAAAATAAGTAATTACCATAAATTATACAAACTTTTTTTATTAAATTTTAGTGTTATTCAATTCAGTTCATTGATTAAGGTAAACAAAGAGATTTCTAATATTCATTATGAAAGAAATATCAAATTATGATTCATTATTGATTATGGACAATAACATATATAGATACAAAGATCTTGAACCTGAAACTATTCAGTCGTGTATGATGATCTACTGATCATTAATTCAAATTAAATTATCTTAAAGTTTTTAAATGTTATTTTATTGTTAAAAAGTAAAATATAACTCCATGACATAAATAAATCATGCATGATGGAAAGTCTATTGAAGTATTCTTTCAATTTAAATAAACGTAGCTCTTTTTTTCTTTTTTTATTGAGGATGAGATTGAATTTACGAAGTATTCAAAATGGGGTTAATTATTATTATATAATTATACATTTTGTTAGCGATGCATTCACTAAGTGAATTAAACTAGTTCAAATATGATGTGATTTAGTTCGTGAATGTGCACTGCTGAGGAGTCCCATACTAGGACGAAACGGCCGTCCAGTGCTTCCAGGTTTTTAATGGTGGTCTAGCTTCTTTTGACTCGTGATTTCAATCTGTGAAATTTCCTAAGATCTCCACAAAACTCATTCTGATTTAGTTTAGTTGTTAAAATGGTGATTATAACTTTGAAATTAGGAGAGGAGTCCGTGTAGATCAAAATAAATAATAGTAAATATTATGCAATCATTAATTGATAAATTTGTAATACACTACGTGTATATACTTAATAATATTTAACGATGAACAATTAGAATTTTGACGAATAGTTAAATAATGAAAGTTGGACTTAGCCATGATAGCGTGACGATCACATCATTTTTAATGTGTGCATCGACTGTAAATTAATTGAAAGTTTTTGGGGGGGTTAATTTATATATTTAGCATATAAAAACAATAAATTATTTCTGAGATGGTGGAGAAGATTTGTAGCTCAGGTGGATGATTTTGGTGGAGTTTTGTCCTCTGAACTGGATGGTTTGGTCATGGAGTATCCATTGTTCTTCTGAATAACATCAACACAAACTTTAAGTACAAGTGAAGTGTTTGAATTTCTCTACATATAACTCATAGCTTGTCCTTTCCTGTTGTTGGTGACATTTAACCTGTCATTGTCTACTTTATTATTTTGATTGTATCTCTCATTGATTTGATTCTTGGTCCTATATTTGTTCATATTTTTTCCGATCGATTGATAGATAAGATCGTCCAGTTGACTTGAATTACCGCAGTGACTGATATGAATCTTACTATGTAAACAAGGTTTCATCAGAAGTAAAAACAAATTTCGTTATTATCTTGTTATCGGTTAATCAAATGTTAGTTAGCTACATTAGTGAGAAGTTTGTAATTTAAAGTCAGCTGTAATAAGTCATTTGATTCATCATCAGTATTGGGTCGTGGTAATCAACACGTTTTTGAATGAGGTCACTAGTGATTAGATTGGTGAGGGAATCCTCGAAGTTCTAGTGAGAAGCCGTGACCAGTGGAGCCAATCCATGCCGGGTAGAGACAGGTATCTACCTCAGTACAACGGATGCCGGCTCAGTGGCCTAGAGGTTAAGTGTTCGTAAGCAAGACCGAAGGACCTGGGTTCGATTCATGAGAGCGTGGGTGAGCACTGCTGAGAAGTTCCATACTAGAACGAGACTCCTTTCAGTGCTTCCAGGTTTTTAACTGTGGTCTAACATCAGTTGGT